CTGCTGACAGCTCTCGTGATCCTGGAGTGGTACTTCAGAATTGAATAATAAACAAGGTCCTTCTTTAAATCAACAGATGAGTCTCTTTTGTTTGTGCTATCAGTTGCTCCCTCCTACTCCAAGGAAGATTGTTTTGTTGTTGTTTTGAACTAGGTGGTTCAGTCTACAGACAAGGCTGTGCAATTTCTATTTGTGCACTGAGAATCAGTTCTGAAAGACTGGGGCTTTTTCAAAAATTAACTCGGTTTTCTGCTTATTTTTTAATTGAAGATGAAACTTGTCAGTTACTACACTGAAGAGCATATTATTATTATCTGTGTCTGGTAATATGCATTCGCTCCTGCCGTTAGACCCCCCACAAAGGGAACGGTCTTCCTTTCCTGATTTGAATCCCTAATAATTCTGCTTACTTCTGTGTATTAAACCAACAGGAGAAACAGAAAGTGGAATCTGACCAAAAGATCTTTGCTAATAATATCAAAGAAACTGAAAAAAGAATCAGGTCTTTATATCCGGGTAAACATACTGTGGAGGAAGTGGACTTTTAAGAAAAAAAGAGAACCAGCTGTGAAATGTAGCTCAAATAAAGTGAAAAACAAAATAAAAACTTTGAAGGTGTTTTAAGTGGTCACACAGTGCTATTGCTCTATCAAGAGACACCAGCTGAGTAGGGTCATGGTCCCAGCAGGAGAGACTTTGCAGCTTACATGTGTGCTTTAAGAAGCACAGCTGGTGACTCAGCAAGTGATTACCCGATAGCAACCAGCTCAGAGACGGGGGATGGAAGTGTCAGGTGGAAAACCTCTGACTTCCCCATAATGCATACAGTCAAGGTTCTGTACATTCACAGTGATGATGAAAAACTAGGATGTTAGCTCCTGAGCACGCTCTCACTCAATGACTTAGAGTATGTTAAAATAATATTTGCAATTTAACTGTGTCAAGTCAGCTACTGAATCAAGTAGGATCACCAAATTTGTTAAGTGAAAACTTTGGCACAACAGCACATGTGCAGGTTTTTGACAGCTGGGACAGGAAGGAAATGAGAAAACTGCTTCTTTTTATGTTCCCATCTCTATCTTTCGCCTTTTCCTCTAACAACCATTGAGCCAATGAGATGAGGAGCTATGCTGGACCTTATTCTTACCAACAAGGAGGAGCTGGTAGACAGTGTCAAACTCTAAATTAGCCTGGGCTGTAGTGACCATGAAATGGTCGAGTTCAAAATCCTCAAGGCAGCAAGGAAGGTGCGCAGCAGGCTGACCACCCTGGACTTTGGGAGAGCTGACTTTGGCCTCTTGAAGAAGCTGCTTGGTATGGTGCCGTGGGATGAAGCGCTGGAGGGAAGAAGGACCCAAGAAAGTTGTTTAGTATTCAAGGACCACCTCCTCCAAGCTCAGGAGCGATGCATCCCTACAAAGAGGAAAGCAGGCAGAAAGGCCAGGAGGCCCACATGGATGAACAAGGAGCTCCTGGACATGACCAAAAGGAAAAAGGAGGCCTATAGGGAGTGGAAACAGGGACGGGTAGTCTGGAAGGAATACAGAGGAATCATTCGAGCAGCCAAGGATCGAGTCAGACAAGCTAAAGCCCAGAGAGAATTAAATCTGAGTGGGCACATTAAGACAAACAAAAAATCCTTCTGTAAGTATGTCAGTGAGAAAAGAAAGACTAGGGAAAATGTGGGCCCTCTCCGGAAGGAAACGCAAGAACTGGTTACCCAGGACAGAGACAGAGCTGAAGTATGACTTTTTTGCCTCAGTCTTCACTGGCAAGGACTGCAGCCGCACTGCCCATGACGCAAAATGCAAAGGCGAGGATTGGGAAAATGAAGAATTGCCCACTGTAGGTGAACATCAAGTGTGAGAACACCCGAGGAACCTGAAGGTGCACAAGTCCATGGGACCTGATGAGATACATCCGCGGGTTCTGAGGGAACTGGCAGATGAAGTTGCTAGGCCACTGGCCATCATAGTTGTGAAGTTGTGGAGCTCTGGTGAGGTTCCTGCTGCCTGGAAAAGGGGAAACATAACCCCTATTTTCCAAAAGGGAAAAGAGGAAGACGCGGGGAACTACAGGCCAGTCAGCCTCACCTCTGTGCCTGGCAAGATCATGGAGCAAATCCTCCTGGAAAAAACTCTGCTAAGGCACATAGAAAACAAGGAGGTGATTGGTGACAGCCAGCATGGCTTCACCAAGGGCA